CCACCCTGGTCTAGACCCAAATGTAGAGACATTTATTGGGTAAATTACTGAGGTAGAAAAAGTATCCTGAAGAAATGGGCTTAGGAAACAGTTGTAGAGGTAAAGGAAGGGCCCTTGGAGCTTGGGAGTGAGGAAGCTAATAGTAATATGCCTGGGGCCTGGAGGGGACAGGCCAGGAAAGGGAAAGGCAGGGATGTGCTCCCTGGAGGGAGAGCACACTGAGTCCTCTGTCCGAAGGGTTTTAAGGGCAGAGGTTTTAGGGGAGGTCCCAGGGAAAGATCTTAATAGAATATTCAGCAGTTTTCCAGGTGTGTCCTGTCAGGGTTGTGGTCTCCACTGATTGACTGACCTGTTACTCAATGCAGCTGGTCCTGATGTCATCCATGGCTGGTTTTGTTGTTTATCTGGGCCTGGAGCTGAAATGCATCTGAGACATAGATGTTATCTCTAGGGAGGAAAGGTCACAGGGTTCAAACTGCATGACCAGCATTGTAGTATGGGAGGAAAAGGCACCCTGGGGGTGAGGTCCCACCCTACAATTAATTGTTCATTGCTAGGCACCTGGGACTTTCCATCCTGGTGACCTTCCCCATATCTTGCTCTGCTCAGGTCTGTCTGTCTGTACAGCAGCCTGCCTAGAGATTTGTCAATTTTATTGATCTTTTTAAAGAACCAGCTTTTGGTTTCATTGACTTTTATCTTTTTTATTTTTTCTGTTTTAAATTTTATAGGCTTCTGTTTATTTTCTTCTGGTAGCCTTAGGCTTAAATTGGTCTTCTATCTCTGGTTTCCTAAGGTGGAAGCTTAGGTTATTGATTTCAGATCTTTCTTATTTTCTAATATGAGCATTTAATGCTATAAATTTCCCTCTAATTTTTCCTTTTGCTGCATCCCACAAATTTTGATGTTATAGTTTCAGTTCAAAAAATTTTGTTTTCAGTTCAAAATATTTTTAAACTTCTCTTGAGGCTTTAATTTCCAGATATCTGAGGGTTGGTGTTTTTTTTTTTGTTATTAATTTCTAGTTTAATTTCATTGTGTCTAAGAACATACTTTGTGTGATTTCTTATCTTTTATGCCTGTTAAAGTATGTTTTATGGCCCAGAATGTGGTCAACAGTGGTGAATGTGGGTTAGAGAAGAATGTGTATTTTACTGTTGTTCTGGTGGTAAAGCAAGAGGAAGTGTAAGAGTTCCGTAACCTTCCAATTAAGTCTCAGCCTGTGTCCTTCACAAGGGTTCTCCAAGGTGTAGCTTTTCCTCCTTGCAACCTACTCCCTTTCCTAGCTGCAGAGTTCCCAATCTTCCGATAAGCCAGGGGTGGGAAACCTTTTTTCTGCCAAGGGCTATTTGGATATTTATAACATCATCCGCTTAATATAATCCACTTAATATAAATTTATGTTGCTATGAATAAAGCTCCTAGATTATGGAATTTCGAGTCCTGCCAGAGTTTGCCTTGGCAGGGCCAGACCAACCATTTTTATGGAGAAGGCTTTGGGCTTGTTTCACAGTGGTTACTCTTTCCCTCTCCTGCCAGATTCACCAGAGGATCTTTCTGGGATCTTCACCTTCACCTTGAGGACCTGGTGGGGATCCTGGAGGTAAAGCCCACAGAAGTGTGCCAGCCCCCAGGACTGCATTCTGGAGTTTCTAACGCTCATGCCAGTTCACACCCAGCTCCAGCACAAGTTTATGGCTCCAGTAGCGTTTGCTCCAGGTAAGCAGATCTCAGCTGTATCTCTCCAGGTTTGGGTGGCAGTTTGCCCTGTAACTTTAGTTCTCTGATGGGTCCAAAAGTATCATTAATTTTCAGTTTGTCCAGCTTCTCTTGTTCTAAGGTTAGGATTGGGCTTCTAAGCAAAAGTTACCCCCTTTTTTTATTTAAAAATTTTTAATGTATTTTTAAATTATAGTTGACATACATTATTATATTCATTCTAGGTATACTAGTATAATATAGTGATTATACGTTTATATACCTTATGAAGTGTGGACCAAAAAAAGGGGGTTTTATGGGAAGTAACCACACAGGGTGATCTGATCATAAATTCCTAACTGGACAGGTCATGGTGGGGGTAGTCATGTCCCAGGAATATAATGACTTTAGTAAGGGGTTTTTCTTTGCTGTAAGCAAGCCCGACCATTGTTTTTATATCTAGGTTCACACACCTTAGAAATGCCTCTTTTTAGACCCATCCTCCTCCTTTTTTTTATAGACCCATCCTTCTAATGCATGAGCCACCCTTTCAGACTAAGACTTAACCACTCTCGAGAGAAAGCAAATAATCTTAACTGTCCTATAATCCAATCCCTGTATGCCTTGCTTTCTCCCACCTTCACGTAATGTTCCCTTTTCCCTCCTTAATTTCAGATGCATAAAAGAAACTGCGACCCTAGCCAGTTTCTCTCAGTGAATAGAGCGTCGTCCTGTGGACTGGTTCGATTCTGGTCAAGGGCACATGCCTGGTTGCAGATTCAGTCCCCGGTAGGGGGCATGCAGGAGGCAGCCAATTAGTGATTCTCTGTCATCATTGATATTTCTCTCTTCCCCCATCCCTTCCTCTCTGAAATCAAAAATATATTTTTTTTAAAAAGAAGCAAAAAAAAGAAACTGCTGTACTGTTATACTTGGGAGCATTTGAGATCCTATTCCCCAGCATATGCTGTCAGTTTGGCTCAAATAAACTCATAGAAATTCTCTACAGGTTTGGACATCTCTTAACGTCTACATTATTAACCACTAGAGGCCCAGTGCATGGATTTGTACACTGGTGGCGTCCCTCAGCCTGGCCTGCGGGGGATCGGGCAGAAACGGCCCTGTGCACTGATTCATCCAGGGCGTGTCCAGCCCAGGACTGTCTTGCCCAGTCCCGATCGGCCGGACCCCAGCAGCAAGCTAACTTACCAGTTGGAGTGTCTGTCCCCTGATGGTCAGTGCATGTCATAGCGACTGGTCGGTCAAACTAACAGTTGGACACTTAGCATATTAGGCTTTTATTATATAAAGTACTCCCTATACCAGGGGTGGGCAAACTTTTTGACTCGAGGGCCACAATGGGTTCTTAAACTGGACTGGAGGGCCGGAACAAAAGCATGGATGGAGTGTTTGTATGAACTAATATAAATTCAAAGTAAACATCATTACATAAAAGGGTACGGTCTTTTTTTTTTTTAGTTTTATTCATTTCAAACGGGCCGGATCCGGCCCGCGGGCCGTAGTTTGCCCACGGCTGCCCTATACTGTACTTTATATCTGCATGACTATTGTTATAACTATCAATTTGTACTTCTTAATCCCTTTTTCCTTTTTCACCAAGATCTCCCTAACCCACCTCCCATCTGGAGACTATCAGTTCTCTGTATCATTTCTGTCTTATTTGTTCATTTATTGTTTTTTTAGATTCCACATAAATGTGAAATAACACGGTATTTGTCTTTCTCTGTCTGACTCACCTAACAGCATAATACCCTCTAAGTCCATCCATGTTGTAGCACATGGCAAGATTTCATTCTTTTTTTACTGCTGAGTAATATTCCATTGTATACATGCACCACTTCTTTATCCATTTGGACACTTAGGTTGCTTCCATATTTTGGCTATTGTAAAGAATGCTGCAGTAAACATAGGGGTGTATATATCTTTTCAAATTAGTGTTTTGGATTTTTAGGATAAATACCCAGAAGTGGAATTGCTAGTGTTAATGTAAAAAAATTCAAACCTGTAAAGAATTTTTATGTTTATTTGAGCCAAACTGTTGGCAACTGCTGGGAAACAGAATCTTAATGTATTGGGATAATGCTCCAAAGAATGGCATTTTTAAAATCTTGTTTTATACATTACAAAGGAGGAGACATAAGTAGGTTACATGAAATCCATTGATGATAGATTAGGAAGGTGGGAGAAAGCCTTCCTAATCTATCACCAGTGTAGGTTGTCTAGTATGTAAGTTGTGTAGTATGTAAATCTATTTTTTGTTTTTTTGTTAGTCCTCACCTAAGGATATTTTTTCCCTAGATTTTTTTCTTTCCTTATTTATTTTTAAAATAAGTTTTTATTGATTTTAGAGAGAGAGGAAGGGCGGATAGAGAGATAGAAACATCATTGATTGGCTGCCTCTTGCATGCTCCCTATTGGGGATTGAGCCTGCAACCTCGTCATGTCCCTGACCAGGTATTGAACCAGCGACTTCTTGGTTCATGGGTCAATACTCAACCACTGACCCATACTGGCTGGATGATTTTATTTATTTATTTATTTATTTACTTTTAAAAAGAGAGTGGAAGGGAGAGGGAGATCAAACTAGACAACCAGTGGGTCTGGGCTGCCTGTCAGTACTTGAACCAATTAAGCAGAGACAGATTTGAACCATATGAGCATTTATTCCAATACTGCCAGCAGTATGGGAAAGCAGCCGGACATCCACGAAAATCTGCTCTGTATTCCCTCATAAGCCAGCTGCTTATACGGGGTAGGACAAAGATTACTTGGGGAACTAGGCAAAGGAATAAGAATAGGCATTCAAAATGGGTATTACAGGAGTGAAGAAGACCACTTGGCTGGGGCAGGACTCCATTGTTTGGGTAACAAGGTTGTTAATCTTTCCATGATAATAGGCAGTTCTCCAATAAGAATGGACCACATTCCAAGGTTAACTCCCAGGTCAGGTTAAAATGTGCTTTCCTTCTTTTTTTAAAATATATTTTTATTGATTTCAGAGAGGAAAGGAGAGGAAGAGGGAGAGTGAAACATCAATGATGACATGGAATCATTGATTGGTTGCCTCCTGCACACCCCATACTGGGGATGGAGCCCGGGACCCAGGTATGTGCCCTTGACTGGAATTGAACCCGGGATCCTTCAGTCTGCAGGCTGACGCTCTATCCACTGAGCCAAACCAGCTAGAGCAGAATGTACTTTCTTTCATTAGAACAAAACAATCAAGGTTAATATCCTATATAATAAAGAGATAATATGCTAATTAGACCCAACAGAAGAATGACCTTCTGGATGAAGCCGGGGCTGCGAGGGCTGGCCGAGGCTACAAGGGATTGCGATGGCCGAGCCCCTTGCACTAATTTTGTGAATCGGGCCTCTAGTATCTTATAGCTAGTCCCCAATATTCTATTTTTGCCTGTAACAGAGAGAGAAGGAGAGAAAAAAAAGAAATCTGATGTGAGAGAGACACATTGGTTGGTTGGTTGCCTCCTGCAGGTGCCTGGGGGTTTAACCTGCAACCCATGTACATGCCCTTGACTGGGAATCGAACCCTATACCCTTTGGTCCTCGGGCCAGTGCTCTAACCATTACTCAGTGCTGGTCAGGGCTAGTTCTATTTTTAATTTTGTTGACCTAAGAACACCCAAACCTGTAGAAAATTTTTATAGTAATTTGAGCCAAACAGAGGATATTCCTGGAACCAAGATCTCAACAGAGAAAAATGCTTTCAAGAAATGTGTTTGTAGCCCTAACCGGTTTGGCTTGGTGGTTAGAGTGTTGGCCTGTGGCCTGAGGGGTCCCGGGGTCGATTTTGGTCAAGTGCGCATGCCTGGGTTGCGGTCTCGGTCTGACGTGCAGGAGGCAGCCAATCAATGATTCCCTCTCATCATTGATGTTTCTGTCTCTCTTCCTCTCTGAAATCAAAAAATATATATTTTTAAAAATGTGTTTGTAGCTTCTTTTATGCATTTGGAATTAAGGAGGGGACATAAGGAAGATTATATGAAGGGAGAAGAAAGCAAGGCAGAGATTGGATTATAGGAAAGTTAAGATTGAGTTCTCTTGAGGGTGATCACCCTCTTTAGATGTACTTTGGGTTTAATCCCTTTTTGTGGGCAGAATGAGAACAAGAGATAATAGCTTGCATAATTTTGGGGTTCCTAAGTGTTTTCATACTATTTATTTTATGGAGGCTGGCTGATCAACAGAGCTTTTGCAATTTTGGAATTTAAATTTCTTTTTATTTTAATTAAATCTTCATTGTTGAAAGTATTACATATGTCTCCCTTTTCCCCCCATTGACCCCTTCTATCCCGCCCCCACCGCCTGCTGTGTCCATGGGTTATGTATATATACATACAAATTCTTTGATCTCTTCCCACCCACCCACCCTCCCTCCTCCACCTTCCCTCTGAGGTTCCAGAGTCTGTTCAATGCTTCTATGTCTCTGGATCTATTTTGTTCATCAGTTTATTTTGTTCATTAGATTCCACATGTGAGTGAGATCATTTGATACCTGTCTTTCTCTGACTGGCTTATTTTGCTTAGCATAATACTCTCCAGGTCCCTCCAAGCTGTCTCAAAGGGTAAGAGATCCTTTTTTTTACACCTGCAGTGTATTCCATGGTATAAATGTACCACAGCTTTTTTTTTTTTTTTAATTTATTGATTTTTTTACAGAGAGGAAGGGAGAGGGCTAGAGAGTTAGAAACATCAATGAGAGAGAAACATAGATCAGCTGCCTCCTGCACACTCCCTACTGGGTATGTGCCCGCAACCAAGGTACATGCCCTTGGCCGGAATCGAACCTGGGACCCTTGAGTCCGCAGGCCGACGCTCTATCCACTGAGCCAAACCAGTTAGGGCAACCACAGCTTTTTTATCCACTCATCTACTGATGGGCACTTGGGCTGTTTCCAGATCTTAGCTATTGTAGATTGTGCTGCTATGAACATAGGAATGCATACATTCTTTCTGATTGGTGTTTCAGTTTTCTTTAG